AATAAAAAGCCACTGAAAAAAAAAAAAAACTCTGACTCCAGCAACTGCTAATATTATTAATGAGCTATCAGACCACGAAGAGACACTAAGAGAGTGAAAACAGTGAAAACTCTGTAGACACCCTAAACCTCCTCTGGTTAGCCTCCAACTTGGAAATAGACCCAATCCCATCGATTTCACCTTATCAGCGTCGATCCTTGTCTGTGTGAGCTGATTTTTTCATGCAACCCTAGATTAGGCTGATTTTCTCGGGCAAGCCTGGCAGCCTTTATGTACATGTATGTTGTACGTGGTACAATGAATATGGAGTGTAACCATTCTGAGGTCTTCGTGTCTACAAAACAGCGAATAATATTTCCTGAGTTTTATGCCTTGATGCTATTTGACCTAAGAATTCAGAGCAAGAATTTAGAGTTTATCTTCCTGAGAATGTCAGATCTTCACTCTCCATATTGAGAACATTCTGGTCAACTATACTAAATGACTTCAGGCGAACCTAAATTGGATCAACAAATACTGATCCAGAACAATCTACCCCATATGGAATACTCCGTACGGAGTATATACTTAATCTAATGTTTTAAAGCCAATGTGGTCCTACTTGGTACTCCGTCCAGACAACTAAAATGACATCTACAGTAAATGTTGCATGAGTAGTGCGTATGCATGTACTTATGTACATCGTGCCATACGACCCAAATAAGCAACCCCGCCTCCCTCCAAGAAATTAAACTACCCCATTACACAGGTGGCAATGCTTGTCTCCAATCTGACTTTTGTCAAGGGTCCAGTGAGAAAAATCGCGCTTTACTTTTATTTAGCACATGTCTAATTCTATCATTCCTTTGTAACCCAGTGCCCGGTTAGTAGCCGATATCCGGAGGTAAGCTGTCCCACCTGCACAATAGGCAACATTACTAGGATCTTTCCTGTTCTAACATGATTTTATCAGAGTGTACTTAGAATGAATGGTTCGAGCCATGTATACAATATAGTACCATTTGACTATTAGATGAAATCTAAAGCGAGTTGAGCTATTTTACTATCTATACCCAGAAGAGTGGGAGCCCATGGATACATTAACCCTCTAATAAGCACTTATGTTTGTTGCATGCTTGAAGTTTGATTCATCTGTGTCACCTTCGGTGCCACATCCGTACTTTCCTCGGGATATCCGCCTATCCTCCTATTCTCTGGGTATCAGTTTACGCGTGTATTTATGTTCATTTTCAAGTAGTGCTATATACTTTGTAAATGGCAGGCGACCCTTGACCAATAATCGAACTCACAGAACCATTATATGATTGGTGAATATTATTAACTACCATTGCA